GACTGTAGGAGTCGCGAAGCTTCAATGAAGTACGGCAATGGTGGCGATGAACGTGGAAGATGCCGGTGAGCTTAATGATGAGCAATGGAACTGGACTGGATATGGAGATTTGAGAGCCATAGATATCAATGGTTAAAATTAAATCACACAAAATAAATTGAAAAATCACAATCCAACGGTATAAAATCATACTCCCAATTAGACCACCAAATTAGAAAGTATATCCTATTTTAGAAATCATAGTATATAGGATCATAAAATAATTTTTATTATTTAAATATATATATAAAAATTCCAACACGAGTCACCTGAATATGGAAATTTGAGAGCAAATGAGAAGGATTTGCTAAAAATCAATGGCTAACGGGAGAGGATTTGCTGAGACTGAAAATTAGGGCTTCGAATTTGGGGATTCTGTGGTACAATGCGATATGATGAATATATATATATATATATATATATATATATATATATGGGTAAAGTGTAAAAAAATCCTCCTCAGCTATGTCTAAATTTGCAAATAAGCCCGAACTATGTTTTGTGCATAAAACTCCCTAAACAATCACATTTAGTTATAAAATGTCCCATTATCTTACATATTAATGATTATAATACCATTTCTTATTAAATTAAACTTGATATATTTTTCTTGTTAAAATAAATTTTTTAAAAAATTCATACTAATTTGATGAAATATTTTTCATTAAATTTGTAATTTCTTAATTTTCATAAATATATTACACTAAAAAAAGATATTTTTTATTTACGTAATTTATTGATTTTTCTTGAATATTGTTTGAAAAAGAAGATATTTTTTATACTATTTTTTTTAAAAGTGAGTATAATAGGTTTTATTATAATAAGTTAATCATTTTAGAAAATGATAATTACAAATTTATTTATTTATTTTCATTTTTATAATCAATTGATACTAATTATAAAATTAAGGTAAATGGTATAATTAATATTTAAATGAGAGAAAATATAATAAAAAATAATTTAATAAGAAATGACAAATTTAATAATAAAGGGTAAAATAGTCTTTTGTGATGAGTTTGTCCTTAATTGTAATAAATCAATAGTTTAGAGGAGCAATATTTAATTTAAGGGAATTAGTTGCAAAAAGTCAATAATTATCAAACATGGAATTATAATAGTTTTTAATCGTCAAAAGGGTATATATGGCAATATATATTTTGACCAAGGCTTATGGGTCATGCTCCCACCATTAATTCTCAAACGGGCAACTAACAGGGTTTGAATTTTTGCAACGGTTAAGTATATTCTTTAAAGTTTAGGAGAATTTCTTGAGAAAGAAAAGAAAGTTCAAAGGGATTTAGTGCATTTTACTCGTTAAGTTATAATAATCAAATTATAAAATTGAGTAAATTGGAGTGTTATAACTTTCAGATTGCATCAAGAGGTGACATCACTATTTAAGTAAATAGGACGTTGTTGTAGAATTCGAATCTCCTTCCGTGCACTAGTTCTATATTGTCAATGCAACACATTACATTGTTATAGGAAAATAACTGCATCACGAAATGCAAAATCATAAAAGAGTAAAAAAAAAAAAAGAAAAAAAAAGTCCAACTCCCAAGAGCTACTGGTTTATGTGAATTATATATGATGAGAATCATACGAAGGAGACAAAAGATAGTGCATTACTTTATCGTCATTGACTATAGAGTGTGGATGTGGTCCCCTGTTTTCAATCTTTAGTGTGCATTCATCATGTGAAGGAGACAAAAGATAGTGCATTACTTTATCATCATTAACTATAGAGTGTTGATGTGGTCTCCTGTTTTCAATCTTTGAAGTGCATTTGCGTATTAAGACAATCTTGGTGCGGGGGCCTCTTCATTGGCTTTATTCTCATTATCAAACATTGCGTTGTACTATGTGGGGTCCAATTGTGACTTATATGTCAACACCTACAATTGTTTTATTACATAATAATTCCCTATTTGGTTGAAGCTAAAGAAAACGTCCGCCAATGGCTGCCCTGCCCTGGAAAAGTGGGGTTTATTACATCTGATGTGGCGATATCAACTTGTTCTGATTATGATCAATTCATCCTTTCCTTCACTCTCTGGTCGAAGTCCACTTTATATGTTACAAATTATGTTTTCTGTGATTTTTATTTCCCACAAGAACCAGCAGTTGATAATTCAAAGTGGCACTCAAGCTCTCTATTTCAAATGATTGCAGGTTGGATAATTCTTTTCCTTTTCCCTTTTCACCCTTCTCTTATTTTTCATGAATTAGTCTTGTGCCTTTTCTGTTTCCAGAATGTCTTGAAACCTTTGAATTTCTATGACTTCTTATCGTTGCCCTAGTGTTCCATCGTTTTGTGTCTTGTCTTCCATTTACTGGGGAAAAAAAACGAGAAAAAAAAAATTAAAATATTGGTTTTGTGTAGTGTCAAAAAATAGATAGAACACCACCTTTGCTTAATGTATTGCATTGTACTTTTTCCGGGAGGGGGGATTCCTAATTATAAGGTCATTTATTTAACCAAATTGTGAGTTTCTCATAATAGAATCATTATTTTCACTTATTATTATTATTTTATTTAAATTTTTATGCTTGTATTTATTAAACAATTGATATCACTTTGTTTTTGCTTTAAATGTCAAAGGTAGCCTATCTTTTCGTAAAGATTTCAGTTTTTCTATGGTTGCTGGTTGTGTGGGATTAAAGCTGTAGGCTTAATTTTGAGGTTCAACATTTTTTTTTTCCCGCTAATCTATTGAGGATTTCAGTTTTAATATGGTTGCTGCTCCAGAGCCTATAAATGTCCGAAAGTATTGTAACACTAAATTAAAGAAAGAATAACTATGTCTCAGAATTAAGAAGTCATCTCAACAAAAACATTTGTTCATAATTAATGTCATTGAATTTCAGTTTCCTCCTGGTAGTACTTTACAGCTTTCCACTATTTTAGATTTCTGATTCAAATATATGTTCTTCTTTTACGGTTGTGATCTAAGTACACCAACGTAGTGATAGCAAACAGCATTTGGAAAGAGGGCTAAGGAGAGCAATTTGAGTGGAGATAAGAAGACAGAACAGGCTGAAACATCAAAAAGCCATTCACCAGTGATGGAGACTCAGAAAATAGCTTTCGTAAATATTTGCTATGAAATGCTGTCTTAGCCAATGCTTATATTAAGAATCTGGTTATGGTTTTCCATATCTTCTTGAAGATTGATCACATGATATGAATTAATGCTTTGTCATCAAGTGTAGTTTAGCAACTATTTTAATCATATACTTAATGAGAGCACCCTGTTGATAGACTTGGCTCTTTAATAAATTTGTAAGGGTTAGATTATGTGCCCAATGAGGCCCTCCTTTTTTAAAATGGGCATTTCAGTCCACAATATTCAAAAAAGATACAAATAAACCCCTCTGAGTCCTAGGGGTGCACAAAAATCCGGTAAAATTGAAAATCCAAACTAGACCAAACCGGATCAAACAGTTTGGTTTGATTTGCTAATAGTTTGGTTCGGTTACGGTTCTAAATTTGTGAAACCGTAAAGATACGGTTTGGTCACGGTTTGAAGTCCTTTAGGATCGAACTAGACCAAACTAAACCATTATGTTATATATATATATATATTTAGGGAAAATTACATATAAATGGAGTCAAAGTTCCATATTTACTTAGAGGCTGAGTCAAAGTTCCATATTTCTCTAAAATGGATTGCTGAGGTGGCACATGGTTTTTTACTGTTTAGAAATTATGGTGCCTAAAATACCCTTCCGCAAAGGTACTACTTTTTCTTCGAAGGTACTACTTTTTTGAACTGAAGGTACTACTTTTTGGTGTCCAGGTACCATGTTTTTTATACACGCGCGAAGGTACTACTTTTTCTTCGAAGGTACTACTTTTTTGAACTGAAGGTACTACTTTTTTGAACTGAAGGTACTACTTTTTTGTTAGAGAAGGGCATTTTAGGCACCACAATTTTCTAAACAGTAAAAAACCATGTGCCACCTCAGCAATCCATTTTAGAGAAATATGGAACTTTGACTCAGTCTCTAAGTAAATATGAAACTTTAACTCCATTTATATGTAATTTTCCCATATATTTATTTATATATATGTTAAATTATAGAGTATATATAATATAATATAATCCTATAATATATCCAAATCATTTAGAAGTTTGTAGCAGTCCACTCTTAATTATCTTAGGTATTATCAATTTATTAGATAATACAGTTCCAGAAGTGATAGAGAAGAATAAATTAAAAGTTCTGAATGCATTAATAGTTTTGAATGTGTTGGTAACTTGGTTTATTGTTGTGCATGTAGATAATATGAATACTTCTATAACAATAAAGAAAAAAATAAAACAAAAAGGAACTGTGGAAACGAACCGAACCAAACCGGTTTTTCACGATTTGGTTTGGTTTGGTTTGGTTCATTTGGTTAAATGGTTCGATTTGGTTCCAAATTTTATGAATCCGTTAGAATTAGTTTGGTTCTAAAAAACTCTTAAACCGGTCCAAACCGAACCGTGTACACCCCTACCTCTGACTACATTTTGGCAAAAACTAAATTTGAAAACCCGATTTTACCCTTTTTGTTCCTATTTTGCCCCTCACAGAATGTGTATATATATTTTTTGGTTAAAATCACAAAACCCTCCCCTCTACTTTCAAATTCGTGCATAAAATCCCTAATAAAATTGAATTTGTTTTCAAAATTACATTGATACCCACAATGCCCTTTAACTAAAAAGAAAAGACCCTATTACCCTTATAATGTCATCAAATTAATATATATATATATATATATATATATATATATATATATATATATTACCCTTATAGTGTCATCAAATTACGATATATATATTAAGAGACAAAAATACCCTTTTCTATCTCCATTTCTTTCTTTCTCACCACCACCACCACCGCAATATCCAAACCCAGAAAAGAGGAACACAAAGTTTGCTTTTTTTTTTTTTTTTTTTTTTTTTTTTTTTTTTTTTTTTAAAGACAATCATCAAATAGTAAAGTGGTAAAATTGAGCACTCTAATTTATGACCACCAATCAGTAGATGGTTTTGTGACCAATAAAGAAAAGAAAAAGGAAAAAGAAAAGGGAAGAACATAATTGTGCTTTTTAAATGCTTAAATAGCTTTCCTAAATATTTGCTATGAAATGCTATCTTAGCCAATACTTATATTAAGAATCTGGTTGTGGTTTTTGTGACGACCCTCACCCTATCTAGACATAATATTGTCTGTGTCTTTTGGCTCCCCGAGACTAGAGACTTCTCAAGGGGTCACCCATCTTGGTACTATTCTAGGTTACGCATTGTGTCATAAAAAGATGTTGAATCTACATATAACACTTGTCCTATCCACACCCAGCCGATGTGGGATTGTGCACTTGTAGCTCGTCCAGTGTGATAGCCTACTGGTGCCACCTGCACACGCTCACACACATCCACCCCACAAGGTCGTCACAATCACCCCCTCTTTGGGGCCCAACGTCCACGTTGGCCACATTTCCGGTTGAGTCAGGCTCTGATACCATTTGTAACGACCCTCACCCTATCCAGACACAATATTATCCGCTTTTGGCTCCCCGAGACCAGAGACTTTTCAGGGGGTCACCCATCCAGGTAATTCTCCAGGTTAAGCACGCTTAACTTCGGAATTCTAGTGGGTTCACGGTCATCACGGCTTTAAAACGCGTTGTATCATAAAGGGTGTTTAATCTACATATAGTACTTGCCCCATCCATACTCAGGCGATTTGGGATTGTACACCTATAACTCGCTAAGTGTAGTAGCTTACTGGTGCCACCTGCATAGGCTCACACACACCCATCCACAAGGTCGCCATAGTTTTCCATATCTTCTTGAAGATTAATCACATGATATGAATTAATGCTTTGTCATCAAGTGTAGTTGAACAACTACTTTAATCATATACTTAATGAGAGCACCCTGATGATAGACTTGTCTCTTAATAAATTTGTAAGGGTTAAGTGCAGAAAAACTTCCTATACACAATGAGTCCCTCCTTTTTGAAAATATGCATTTCAGTCCACAATATTAAAAAAATGTGTAAATAAGCCCATCTGACAACTTTTTGGCAAAAAGTAAATATGAAAACCCGATTTTACCCTTTTTATTCCTATTTTGCCCCTCACAAAATGTGCATATATTTTTTGGTTAAAATCACAAAACCCTCCCCTCTGCTTTCAAATTCGTGCATAAAACCCCTAATAAAATTGAATTTGTTTTCAAAATTACATTGATACCCATAATGCCCTTTAGTTAAAAGGAAAAGACCCTATTACCCTTATAGTGTCATCAAATTAATATATATATATATATATATATATATATATATATATAGTATCATCAAATTAAAATACATATATTAAGAGACAAAATTACCCTTTTCTATCTCCGTTTCTTTCTCTCTCACCACCACCACCACCACCACCACCACCACCACCACCACCACCGCAATATCCAAACCCAGGAAAGAGGAACACAAAGGTTTTTTTTTTTTTTTTTTTTAAAAAAAAGACAATCATCAACTAGTAAAGTGGTAAAATTGAGCACTCCAATTTATGACCACCAATCAGTAGATGATTTTGTGACCCATAAAGAAAAGAAAAAAGGAAAAAGAAAAGGGAATAACATAATTGTGCTTTTTAAATGCTTAAATAGCTTTCCTAAATATTTTATATGAAATGCTGTCTTAGCCAATGCTTATATTAAGAATCTGGTTATGGTTTTCCACATCTTCTTAAAGATTGATCACATGATATGAATTAATGCTTTGTCATCAAGTGTAGTTTAGCAACTATTTTAATCATATACTTCATGAGAGCACCCTGATGATAGACTTGGCTCTTTAATAAATTTGTAACCATCTACAAACAGTAAAAATTGAACCCTTGACCCAGTCCACACCCTCATCTTCCTTATAGCCGCGCTCGCTTCCCTCGTTTAAATTTTGACTACCATACTCTTCTTTTATTATGTTTTAGGTACTTCCAAAATATTAATTCTATGGATATATATATGCTATATGATCTTTTTTAAACAAGGGTGCATAATTCCCAAAAAATCAACAATAAGATTATATATTTAGCCTGCATTGTACACATATAAATCAACATATCTATATGTATATATTTTATTTAGTAACAAAATCTGTTACTATAACGATGTGGGTTGGACGGGGACAATCTTATTCTAATAAGCTGATAGTTGCATTTCCCCATCCTTCGAATGAAATTGATTGTGCTAGCATGGAATGATTAAACAAACATAGATGATGAAAATGATTCGAGTTGAATGTATATTATGTTTACTAATTACTATTGCTGTGTTATTCATTTGATGATATTATGTTTATAGGTAATTTAGATGTCTGACCTTGAAAAGGTATATTATTACTCTATATTAGAGTAATAATTGTATATTATTATATTTATTGGTAAAAATTGACTTTATATTTTTAATCTATTTATTGAAGAAATCCCATAGTCTTATTAGCCGGTATCCATTAGACCACAGTTTTTTAGTTACCAAGCAATGGTTGCTTAGAAAAGTGGATGGGAAACATACAAATGTGAAAGGTTGGATCCCACAATCAAAGGCAGATTCCACAAAAGCTGGAATCCATCACAGGTAACCATTTTTTCATATTTTGGTGAGTTTAAAGTTGATGATACTTCTGATATCAACTTGTTCTGATTTTGATTAATTCATCATTTCCTTCACTCTCTGGTCTAAGTCTACTCTATATATTACAAATTATGGTTTCTGTGATTTTATTTCCCACAAGAACCAGCAGTTGATAATTCAAAGTGGCACTCAAGCTCCATGTTTCAAATGATTGCAGGTTGGATAAATTCTTTTCCTTTTCCCTTTTCAGCCTTCTCTTATTTTTCATGGAATAGTCTTGTGCCTTTTCTTTGTCCAGCATGTCTTGAAACCTTTAAATTTCTATGACTTGTTATCGTTGCCTTAGATATATGTTGAAGGTTTTGTGTTCTATCTGTCTTCCATTTACTGGGGGGGGGGCGGGGGGGAAATAATGATGGTTTTGTGTAGTGCCAAAAAATAGATAGAAGAACACGACCTTTGCTCAATGTCTTGCATTTTTTTCTTCCCGGGAGGGAGGATTCTTAATTATAAGGTTATTTATTTAACCAAATTGTGAGTTTCTCAAAATAGAATCATTATTTTCACTTATTATTATTATTTTTATAAATTTTGATGTTTGTTTTTATTAAAAAATTAATATCACTTTGTTTTTTCTTTAATGCTCCATTTGTTTGGAAGTAAAATATTTTTCAGAAAATATAAGGTCACTTATTTAACCAAATTGTGAGTTTCTCATAATAGAATTATTATTTTCACTTATAATTATTATTTTTATAAATTTTGATGTTTGTTTTTATTAAACAATTAATATCACTTTGTTTTTTCTTTAAGGCTCTGTTTGTTTGGAAGTAAAATATTTTTCAGAAAATATTTTTTTATTTTTTGGTGTTTGGTTGTCGTAAAATATTTACAAAGGAAAAATATATTAAAATTTTACAAAAAAGATTTATCTATCAATTTTTTGTAAGTTATTTTATACGTCCCGCCTCGACCTAGACCTTTGCCAAACGCTGAAAAGTAAAAATAAAAAGAAATATTTTACCTAAAAAATAAAAATATTTTCTAAAAAAAAATTTTGCGTCGAAACAAACGGAGCCTAAATGTCAAAGGTAGCCTATCTTTTCGTAAAGATTTCAGTTTTTCTATGGTTGCTGGTTGTGTGGGATTAAAGCTGTAGGCTTAATTTTGAGGTTCAACATTTTATTTTTCCCGCTAATCTATTGAGGATTTCAGTTTTAATATGGTTGCTGCTCCAGAGCCTATAAATGTCCGAAAGTATTGTAACACTAAATTAAAGAAAGAATAACTATGTCTCATAATTAAGAAGTCATCTCAACAAAAACATTTGTTCATAATTAATGTCATTGAATTTCAGTTTCCTCCTGGTAGTACTTTACAGCTTTCCACTATTTTAGATTTCTGATTCAAATATATGTTCTTCTTTTACGGCTGTGATCTAAGTACACCAACGTAGTGATAGCAAACAGCATTTGGAAAGATGGCTGAGGAGAGCAATTTGAGTGGAGATAAGAAGACAGAACAGGCTGAAACATCAAAAAACCATTCACCAGTGATGGAGACTCAGAAAACAGCTGAAAAGTCTTGCAGCCAAGATAATTCGGATAATACCCGAAAGAAAAATGAAGTCACTGAAACTGTTCCATATTTCAAACTGTTCTCCTTTGCTGACTCCACTGATCATGTACTAATGCTTGTGGGCACAATCGCAGCTATAGGGAATGGAATCTGCATGCCCCTTATGACTGTGCTCATTGGAGATGTAATCAATTCCTTTGGACAGAATGTGAACTCAAAAAATGTGGTTCATGAAGTTTCCAAGGTATCTTTAGCTTAAACTTGATAATCACTCCCCCATAACAAGACCAGTTCTTGCCTAACTGTCAAAAAAATTGTTTTGTTCCGGTCATTTACGCTTGAATTTCATCAATTTGTGTGTTCTCCATCCTGTTGCAGTAGAAGGATTATTGTATTAGTAAAATCAGTTATTGATTTAAGCTCCTAACAAACAGTATAAAATTTATTTCAGGTATCTGTTAAGTATGTTTACTTGGCTCTGGGGTCTGGTTTAGCAGCATTTTTCCGTAAGTGCATCTGGCTTCTTTCTGAAAAAAGAATTTAGTTTTCTAGCTACCTCATGTAAATAATTGTTTTTGATTAAATAAACTGAGAAAAACATGCTTGCTACATCACAGAGGTGGTTTGCTGGATGGTCACTGGGGAGAGGCAGGCTGCAAGAATTAGATGTTTATACTTAAAAACTATATTGAAGCAAGATATTGCATTCTTTGACTCGGAGGGTAAAACCGGAGAAATTATTGATAGGATGTCAGGAGACACCTTCCTTATTCAAGATGCCATTGGTGAAAAGGTATTGCTACCATAGCAAGGGAGCCCGACCATTATTAGCAATGCCGGTACTCTATTCCTATTTTAGGTTAAATTGGTACTTTTCTTATTGAAGTATTTACGACAGGTTGGGAAGTTTCTAGTGGTGGTCGCTTCATTCTTGGGAGGCTTTGTTATAGCTTTCATCAAGGGTTGGCTTCTCACCCTTGTCATGATATCTTCAATTCCACTTCTTGTCATCTCTAGTGCTATCCTGACCCTCCTTTTAGTGAAGCTTAAATCCAGTGGACAAGTTGGTTATTCACAAGCTGCAATTGTGGTCGAACAGACAATTAGCTCAATAAGAACGGTATGCAGAAATTGACAAGAGGGCTTAGCATTTCCTTTTTCTTTCATCACCCTTTACTTTCCCATTCAGGTTGCATCATTTACTGGGGAGAGGCAAGCTATAGCTAATTACAATAAGTCTCTTATTAAAGCTTACAAATCTGGTGTGCAAGAGGGCTTGGCTTCCGGGTTGAGTGGTGGTGTATTTATGTTTGTCATATACAGCTCTTATGCTTTGGCTATATGGTTTGGGTCGAAAATGATAATAAACAAAGATTATACAGGAGGAGATGTACTCAATGTAGTTATGGCCGTGCTGACTGGCTCCTTGTGAGTTGCCCTTTGCTTTTCTTCTCAGTTTCCAACAGTTTGGCTACTATGAGCCTCTGTTTGTTGTATATGCATTGCTTGGATTTGATATTTGATTCTTTTAGAAAGTTCACTTAATTTCTATCCCATTTGGAATTTTACAGTTCTTTAGGACAGGCATCTCCATGCATGAGTGCATTTGCTGCTGGACGAGCTGCAGCTTTTAAAATGTTTGAGACAATCAACAGGAAGTCAGAGATAGATCCTTATGACACGAATGGACTGAAATTGGATGATATTGGTGGCAATATTGAATTAAAAGATGTTTATTTTAGCTATCCAACAAGACCAGATGAGCCAATATTTAATGGATTTTGCCTCTCGATGCCAAGTGGAACAACTGCAGCTTTGGTTGGACAAAGTGGAAGCGGGAAATCAACAGTAATCAGCTTGATAGAGAGGTTTTACGATCCACAAGCTGGTGTAGTTCTTATAGATGGTATCAATCTTAAAGAGTTCCAGCTTTGGTGGATAAGAGGAAAAATTGGTCTAGTTAGCCAGGAACCTGTGTTGTTCACTTCAAGCATTAAAGATAATATTTCATATGGGAAGGACGGTGCAACCATTGAAGAAATCAAAGCTGCTGCTAAGCTAGCCAATGTTGCCAAGTTCATAGATAAATTGCCTGAGGTCTAGATCTGAAATTGTTCGAAAATTTATTTTTTCCTTTTCCATTTCAGTTTTTAAATCAAAATCACATCTCTTTTTGAAAGATTTGCTGAATATGGCAGACTTTATTTGCTAATGTAGGAAATATATCAGCCTTTCCCCCAAAAATAAGCAGAAAAACTTTAAAAGGTTTACTTGTTACCTCTTAATCAAAAGAGTTATTGCTCAACAACTTTATTTTTAATTTATGTCCTAGAAGGATTTTAACTTATAATTTTTTTTTCCTAGTTGATACTCACACACACGTCTCTTCTGAGACTTGAACCCCTGATCTTCCTTTGGGAAGTAAGAGGCTGAAACCGCTAAGCCACTGGCCCGTTGGTGATTTAACTAATAATTAATTTACCAGAACCCATTTTAATTTTTTCTAGTCACCTTTGTAACCTTTCCAGCTTTGTGTTTAATGATTTAGGGACTAGACACGCAGGTTGGTGAGCACGGAACTCAGCTGTCTGGGGGCCAAAAGCAGAGAATTGCTATAGCTAGAGCAATTTTGAAAGACCCAAGGATTCTACTTCTGGATGAAGCTACAAGTGCTCTTGATGTAGAATCTGAGAGGGTTGTGCAAGAGGCGTTGGACAGGGTTATGATCAACAGAACTACTGTAATAGTAGCCCATCGCTTGAGTACAGTGAAGAATGCAGATATGATTGCTGTCATTCATCAAGGAAAAATTGTTGAAAAAGGTTCATGTTTTGAAACAATTAAATTGTTGATGCTTTATATCTCTCACCACCTGAGCTTTATTAGGCTTTCCATCTATGTTTATGATTTTTCTGAATTTTAAATCCTCACAACTGATCAGGTTCACACTCTGAACTACTACAAGATCCTGAAGGAGCATATTGCCAGCTTATACGGTTGCAAGAACATAGCCAAGAGTCAGAAAAAAATGCAGTAAATGATCCGTACATGCCAGAGATCACTGCAGACTTTGGAAGACACTTAAGTCAGAGGAGGTCCTTTATACGATCCATAAGCCGGGGATCATCTGGAAACAGTAGCCATCACTCATTATCAGTTTCTTTACATCGAACTACTGCAGTCGGTGTCCTTGATACAGATGTAGAACCCAAAACTCTAGCCTCAGCACCATCACAAAAGGCCCCAGAAGTGCCACTGCGACGATTGGCTTATCTGAACAAGCCAGAGATCCCTGTGCTATTGCTAGGTTCAGTGGGTGCTGTGGCCACGGGTCTAGTATTACCAATTTTTGGGGTACTTCTTTCTAAAGTAATCAAAACCTTCTATGAGCCAGCTCATGAACTTCGGAAGGATTCAAAATTCTGGGCATGCATGTTTCTTGTTCTTGGCGTGGCGTCTTTATTCTGTGTCCCACTAAGAACATACTCTTTTGCTGTGGCGGGGTGTAAGTTAATAAAACGGATCAGATTGATGTGCTTTGAGAAAGTGGTTCACATGAATATAAGTTGGTTTGATGAAACAGAGCATTCCAGTGGAGCAATTGGCTCTAGGCTTTCTTCTGATGCCACTTTTGTGCGAAGTTTGGTTGGAGACACACTTTCTTTGATCGTTCAGAATGTTTCAACAGCTATTGCTGGTTTGATTTTTGCTTTTGCAGCGTGCTGGCAACTGGCTATTATAATTCTTGTCATGATTCCTCTATTAGGGCTAAATGGATATTTTCAAAAGAGGTACATGGGAGGATTCAGTGCTGATGCAAAGGTTAGATCCAAACCTCGGCCAATAGGAAAAAAAAAAAAGAAAAAGAAAAAAAAAAGGGCAATTGGAATGTAGAAGTTTACCAATTTTTTCCTATATGTTATATTTTCTTTTTTAACTATCTAACATAGGCTGTGAGTTTAGTGTAATTAGCCCGTTGTAATAAGCTGCAAATATTTAAATGCTTACAGAAAACATATGAGGACGCAAGTCAAATTGCTAGTGATGCAGTTGGGAGTATTAGAACAGTTGCTTCTTTCTGTGCTGAAGAGAAGGTGATGCAATTGTACCAAAAGAAATGTGAAGGCCCTATGAAAGCAGGAGAAAGAGAAGGCCTAATTAGTGGTACAGGTTTTGGATTGTCCTATTTTTTTCTATACTGTGTCTATGCGACCAGTTTCTATGCTGGAGCTCGGCTTGTTGATCAGGGTAAGACAACATTCGCTAATGTTTTCCAGGTAATCAAGCTTTTCACAACCATATATGCACTAGAAATCAATTCATACTATCATCTTAATGTTCATTTTACTAAAATAGTTTTTTGTTGTTATTTACATTTTGAATCTTTACCTACTGTCTTGGTTTGCAGGTCTTCTTTGGCCTCAGCATGTCAGCCGCTGGTATTTCTCAATCAGGCTCCCTTGCACTTGATCTCAGTAAGGCCAAGAGTGCTGTTGTTTCTATCTTTGGGATTCTTGACCAGAAATCCAAAATAGACGCGAGTGTCGACTCTGGAACAACACTAGAAAATGTGAAGGGTGAGATTAAGTTTGATCATGTCAGTTTCAAGTATCCCACTAGGCCTGACATTCAAATTTTCAGGGACCTTTTCTTGGCCATTCACTCTGGCAAGGTAACTTTCTAGTATGACTAATTCTCAAAGCCTACACTTCTCTTTTGCTTGATGCAAGCCTTACACAAGTTGATACACACACACACACACACACACACATATATATTTATATATATATTTCTCCTACAGTTTGACATAATCGCATTCCAAAACTAATCGTTTGAATCTTATTTATCAGACTGTTGCCCTGGTTGGAGAAAGTGGGAGTGGGAAATCAACAGTGATTTCTTTGTTGCAAAGATTTTATGACCCCGAATCCGGTCAAATCACCCTAGACGGTGTTGAAATCCAAAAGCTAAAGCTGAAATGGTTAAGACAGCAGATGGGCTTGGTGAGCCAGGAACCAGTCTTGTTCAATGACACAGTCCGAGCCAACATAGCATACGGAAAGGAAGGAGATGCAACAGAAGCAGAAATTTTAGCTGCAGCAGAGTTAGCAAATGCTCATAATTTCGTCAGTGCTCTACAAGAGGTGAAAACACTCTAATTATAGTGAACTTCTAAATTTAGAAACACCTAAAATGAACAATTGGAGGTAATCTAATAGTATTGACAATAATACATTGTTAGGAAAGCATTATTGTTATTCATGTTCAAAAGTAATAGCACATCTGCTTCCTTTTTTTCCACCATTCTCGGATTCTTGATTAATGCCAAAAAATATCCATCTTACTGAGTTATGAAAATGCAGGGCTATGATACAGCTGTAGGTGAACGGGGGATCCAATTGTCCGGTGGACAGAAGCAAAGGGTGGCCATTGCACGTGCCATGGTGAAGGATCCAAAGATACTACTATTGGATGAAGCCACCAGTGCCCTAGATACTGAATCCGAGAAAGTGGTACAAAATGCACTGGACCGAGTTATGGTGGGCAGAACCACAGTGGTGGTGGCTCATAGGCTATCGACAATTAGGGGTGCAGATTTGATTGCAGTGGTTAAAAATGGAGTCATTATAGAGAAGGGAAAGCATGAAAGTTTGATGAATATCAAAGATGGTATTTATGCCTCCCTAGTTGCATTGCAAATTAGTGCTTCATCATCTTAGAGAGCTACTTGTGCCCTTTTCTTCACCATATCCTATGGACTTGTTTGGTCTTCTACTGCTCCTAGTTTATTCTCCCTTACATCATGTATACCATGTTTTTTGCACAGTGTAATGCATAAGATGGTTTTTTTGCAGAGGAACGAAATACTACATGAATAGAAGAAAAAGGCAATACCAAAATTTTTGATGAATAAATTTCAATTGATTATTGTTCAATTTTTGATTCACGTAATCTGAATCAATCAATTAACTAAGTTGTGAGCAAATAATTAAATTAATTGTGGAATCAAGCAAACTAGAAACAATGAAAATACCAACATTGATTTTATGTGAACAACCCTAACCTATAAGAACTCCGATCTTATTATCCAAACAATAACAAACCACAAGAAAGTAGTGCAACTGTAGATTGTATACTGTTTGTCCCTTGAGAACCACTTATTTAACAATATTTATAAAACAATATAATAAAAAGAAAAAGAGGAAAGGTATAATCTCAGAAGCACAAACACTTACTGTTAGAATGTTAAAAGCGCTTTTAATAGTAGAGTTGTTATAAAATTACTGCTAGTAAAATGCACTTAAACGTTTGGTGACATATTGTATGATTAATTTGTATCTGATTTAAAATTGGAAGGCGGCTAGAGAGTCCCAAAATAAACTAGGATCTTTGTTTGTTACAGAGTCTAGATATTGTTTGCTATTTGTTTGTAGAAGGGATAAAATTGTATTTATAAAAAATATAAAGGGATTAAGTTGTCTAAAAAAAAATTAGTTACCTAAAAACATGGACTTCTACTCGTAACGCAATTTTAAAAGTTACGATTCCTAACTTCACGTAAACGCGCTTTTTAGACCTAACTTCTACCATCTATTAAGATTTTTTTTCCCACCAAACACATTGCACCGCAATTTTTTAGAATGGAAGTGCTTTTCAGTAGTTGAGAAGCAATCCCAAACACCACTTAGTTGGAAATGCAATGATATTGTTGGATAGTGTCCAACATGAATAAGCGGGAACATGGCAAGAACACGACCCAAATATGCAACAAAATGATCGGGACAAGTTTCATAACATAATAGAAATTTGTAAATTATGTTTTAAAGTAATGGGGACCAACTCAAATTTAAAAATTTAATGAGGAAAAATTGTAGAAAACAAAAAATAAGTTTAAAAAGTCCAATAACATATTTTCTATTTGTTCTTTGGCCTGAAATTTTGTTCTCATTTTTCATATCAAAATGTAAGCCAAATCAATGTGTAAAAAAGCGAAAAGGAATAGAGGAGAAATAAAACAAGACAAAGGTGTGGAGACATCCCTTAAATGAGTTTAGAGCAAATTTGTTCTCTTTAGTTTGCACATTATTTTATTTTATTTTTATTATTTTTATTTTACTTGTACATTGCCGAGGTCCTTTAATGGTGTCCTTTTTGGTTATTTTACAAAATTATTTATTTTTATATATTTTATAAAATTGTTGAGTAAGGGTAATTTAGTCAACTTAGGATTTAAATTTGTCAAAAGGACCTATTTGTACCAAATTGAAACTTTAGAGGTGTTTTTTGCACTTTAGGGACGTCCTCCAATAATGTCATTTTCGGTCATTTTATAAAATTATTTATTTTTATATATTTTATAAAATGGTTCAGTAAGGGTAATTTATTCAACTTATGCTACGTTTGGTGTGCAGGAATGAAATGGAATACAAATGGGAATAGAATGAGAATGGGAATGGAATGGAATGGTCATTTTTATTATATTATTTGGTTGTAAATATGAAACGTGTAGGAATGGAATGATAATAACCATTGTAGTGTTTGGTTGGACCGATTTAAAATTTAGAATGGAATAAATTTTAAATTGAATTCTCCAAAATATCCCTCTTAGTAACAAATAAATTAAATTAAATTAACGATAGCGGTGGTGGTGGAAGGCGGCAGCGGCAGTGGTGGTGAAAGGTGGTGGCGGTGGTGGAAGGTGGTGGTGGTGATAGAAGGTGGTAGAAGGCGATGGCGGTGGTGGAAAGCGATAGTGGCGGCGTTGGTGGTTGTGGAAGGCGGCGGCGGCGGTGGTGGTGAAAGGTGGCAGTGGCGGTGGTGGTGTAAGGCTGTGACGGTAACGGTGGTGGAAGGTGGTGGTGGTAGTGAAAGGCGGTAGCGGTGGTGGTAGTGAAAAACGGTAGCGGTGGTGGCAGTGGTGAAAGGCGATGACGGTGGTAAAAGGTGATGGCGATGGCGGCGGTGGTGGTGAAAGGTGGTGGTAGTGGTGAAAGGCGATGGCGGTGGAGGAAGGTGGTGGCGGTGGCGGTAGCGGTGGTGAAAGGCGGTGGCGGTGGTGGTGGTGGAAAGTGGTGGGTGATGGTGAAAGTCAGTGGTGGTGGAAGACAGTGATAGTGGTGGTAGTGGTGAAAAGCGGAAATAATTGTGGTGGAAGGTAATTGTGGTTTTTGGACTTGGAATATGAGGATGTTTTGGGAAGTCGAATAAATTACTTGGGAATGGAATAGCTATTCCATAGGTTTAGTTGTGGAATGGATTTTCATTCTCAGGAATGGATTTTCATTCCAATGGAATGGCCATTCCTACTTTAAGTTACATACCAAACAAAAGAATGGTTGGAATGGGCATTCCATTCTTGCACACCAAACGTAGCATTAGGGTTTAAATTTGTCAGATAGACTTATTTGCATCAAATTAAAATTTTAGAAATACTTTTTATACGTGAATGATGTGATATACACTGTAAACATATTTTATAGTATTTTCTGCGCTGAATTGACCCAATTCATAATGAGTCAAAAAAATTATTGAACTTGGCAATGCTCATTTCGTTTGTAGCTTTAATGCTTCTTAGGTTATTAACATTACATATAACCTGGCCCGTCCCATTAAGGAAATCAACTTGACCTGACCAGGCTCCGCCTGGTCCAGCCCAGAAATTTCTTGTAGGCCGGAGATTGGGATATGTTGTTGGATAACTTTAACCTAAGTCCATTGAATCGAATAAGTGCTGCCACAAGTCTCCAATATGACAACACAAAGTGACAAAACTGGTTAATTGATCCAGTCATTGTTGACCCATTTTCACATAAAAATCACTATTGCGCTACTCTCTGTCAAATTTGAAAAGTCATTTAGGTCCTTATTTGATCATTATTTAGTGTGTTTAATAATAATCAAAAATATATTTGGTAAAATTTGAACATATTTGATAAAAAAAAAAATATTTCAAATTTAAAATGGTTTATTAAAAAGGTAATTTAAATATTTTATTATTATTATTATTATTATTATTATTATTATTTTTACATTGTTGATCGTTACAACGTTTATTTTACGAGTACATAAGTAACTTCGTTTTGATCTATTTTTTAAAAATATTTCGATACTATTCAAATTACAATAAACATCACCAAACACACTTCAATATTTTACTTCGCACGAGTGATTATCAAATTAAACCTTGATATCACTTCAATAAATACACATGGCTCCAACGATTTCCAGTTACACTAGTTTTGTTGGTATGGATGTGTTTTATCTCGAGTGCAAAATCATCAATAATGGTCCATATAGGATTGAAAGTGGTTAACAGGCATGTTGTCCAAGCAGCCAAATCATCCACAATAGCTCACAAGGGAAAAAAGTCGAGCAGTTAGTAAGCAATATGTCTGCGCCAAATCATCATCAATAACGGCACATATAGGGAAAAAATCGAAGTCGTTAACAACCATATTCTCTACACTCAACAAGTCATCAAGTGAAGATTGACAATTTTGAATCCCCAAAGGTGCTTGCTTTTGCGGGCTGAAATCTAAGGTTTTTCAAAGTATTGGTGTGGTTTTGAGGTTCGAGGTGGACGCAAACATTCAAAAGCCAATGAAGAGGCCCAGCACCATGATTGTCTTAATGCGCAGGCCGAAGATTGAAAACAGGAGACCACATCCACACTATATTCAATGATGATAAGGTAATGCACTATCTTTTGTCTCCTTCAGGCTTCATATGATTCTCATCATATATAATATCACATAAACTAGTAGCTCTTGGAAGTTGGATCCTTCTTTTGCCTTTTTTTTTAAAATTTTAATTTAGTATCTCCTCAATCTCGAGCTGTCAGATTCTTTTTACTTTGTAGAATCTTAATCTTGTGTCGTTTTAATCTTGTACAGACTTACATAGCTTATATAACAACAGACTTACATAGCTTATATAACAACGTTACTCTCTTATGGTTTTGCATTTCGTGATGCAGTTGTTTTCCTACAAGAATGTAGTGTGTTGTACTAGCAATATAGAACAAGTGCACACTCGTATCGTCTTATTTGCTTAAACAGTGATGTCACCGTAATATGAATGTTATAGCACTCCAATTTACACAATTTTATAATTTGATTATCATATATTCACTTAGTGCTGATAATTATGACCGCCAATCAGTGGATGGTTTTGTGACCCATAAAGAAAAGAAAAAAGAAAAACAAAAGGGAAGAACATAATTGTGATTTTTAAATGCTTAAATAGCTTTCGTAAATATTTGCTATGAAATGCTGTCCTAGCCAATGCTTATATTAAGAATCTGGTTATGGTTTTCCATATCTTCTTGAAGATTGATCACATGATATGAATTAATGCTTTGTCATCAAGTGTAGTTTAGCAACTATTTTAATCATATACTTAATGAGAGCACCCTGTTGATAGACTTGGCTCTTTAATAAATTTGTAAGGGTTAGATTATGTGCACAATGAGGCCCTCCTTTTTTAAAATGGGCATTTCAGTCCACAATATTAAAAAAAGATACAAATAAATTCCTCTGAGTCCTAGGGGTGCACAAAAATCCGGTAAAATTGAAAATCCAAACTAGACCAAACCGGATCAAACAGTTTGGTTTGATTTGTTAATAGTTTGGTTCGGTTACGGTTCTAAATTTGTGAAACCGTAAAGATACGGTTTGGTCACGGTTTGAGGTCCTTTAGGATCGAACTAGACCGAACTAAACCATTATGTTATATATATTTATTTATTTATATATATGTTAAATTATAGAGTATATATAATATAATATAATCCTATAATATATCCAAATCATTTAGAAGTTTGTAGCAGTCCACTCTTAATTATCTTAGGTATTATCAATTTATTAGATAATTCAGTTCCAGAAGTGATAGAGAAGAATAAATTAAAAGTTCTGAATGCATTAATAGTTTTGAATGTGTTGGTAACTTGGTTTATTGTTGTGCATGTAGATAATA